TCCCGCCCGCGGCCGCGCCAGGGGCGGTGGAAGACCGCAGCGTCCGAGCGAGGGGCGGCCCGTGGGGCAGCAGGACGAGAGACCCGCTCGGGGGAAGCCCCGCACCGCCCCGCAGAGCGCCGACCTTCCCCACCCACGGCTGCCAATCACAGGCAGGGAGCGGTTCTCGGGGCTTCTAATTGGTTAGGCACTAAGACGCTCGCGCTCGATTGGCCAGGATTCGGGCCCAAACTCTACCCTTAAGCCTGAGTCCCGCCCCTCCCCTGAGCCACGGCGAGCGGACTACGGACCGAGCCCCGCCCGGGGTGACGGAGGCGCCCTCCTCGCGCAGGTTTGACGTGTCCTGCCTCGCCGCTGACTGTGGCTTTCTACCCGGGGCCTACCCCGACCCGGTCCCAACCAGGGAGGTGATTCTGCTCGTGCTCGGGTGTAGACAGCCCTTCCCAGTCCTCACTGCAGCCCCGGGAGTTTATGCTTGTGATCCCATGAAAAGTTACTGGAACTCTAGCGAGTTAATTCCGATGTACCTCTTCCAGGGCAACCCACGGCGAGAATAAAGACACTAAGGCACATCTGTAGTTCTGGGGAGCCGAGGGGTCCTAAGCCCAGCCACGGTGATGGCTAGCCGGAACAAAGCCGGGTTTCCTTAATTCGTGAAGAAGGGAGCGGCTTGAGGATGAGCGACGTGAGAGCGGCGGGAAGTGCATGAGCGCTGTGGGCTGGGGGAGGCAGGAGGCCCGAAATCCCCTCCGCCACGTGCAGAGAGCAGATGTGCAGAAGGAGCGATCTGCGTGACACAGCCGAGACAGCAGCTAATGTCCTGGGGTCGGTGCCTCAGCTCTGACGTGTGATCTTCAAGGCCCAGGAGGTCACAGTCTCAGTCTCGAGGCTCAATCCCAGCCCACAGAGTGGAGCACTGGCTCTGTATCCCGCCCCATCCCGGCTCACACAAGGGAACAATGGGGAGGGGAAGCGCTGCTTGCTGTCTTCAGAGACCACCGTCAGCACCGGCTGGACCGATACGCGTTGCTTAAAGCCAGCTGAAGGCATAAGGAAGAGTCCTAGCCAGCTCTGTACACAATAGGGTCAGGCCCACCAAAATGGGGACAGTTGCGCCTCCTTCACGGAGAGGGGCCCGGGTGGTCCTCCACACTCCGGAGAGGCAAGGCTGCACAGACCTGGTCAGATCGAGGTGTTTCTCTGCACACTTTCTAATTTCAACGTGATGCCTCACTCTGTGCAGAATACCGCAAGCCCTGGTGGAGGGTCGCCCCAAACCTCCCTTAGCTTATTACATGAGAGGACCAAAGAACCCAGCGAAGCAGCTGCTGCTATTCCCGTTTTTCAAGCGGCAGACGTGGGATTCAGTGAGCGACTCAAGCCCTGCCCGCTGTGCTCTGTCCTTTCATCTACCCGCCTCGCTTGAATTCAAACCTTTCTACTTGTCTGCATTTCTTTTACAAACAGCCTGGTAACTCCTCTCCCGGAATCCTCTCCTAATCTTCCTCACGTGAGTTTAATCCTGCCTCTCCCATCCTTCTCAAGTCCCCTCTGCGTGTAGGTTCCGGCAGAGTGCTTTTTATTAAGGTGTAACTTGCCTGCAGAGAAGTACGCCAGTCATAATCCAGTCTGCTGAGGTTTCCTGAGCCAGTACCACTCGTGCAGCCGGCAACCGACTCAAGCTGCAAATCGCGACAAGCGTCCCAGGGATGAGCCCTTCCAAGCACTGACATTTCCTTCTGTACAGGGAGACCACTACTCCTTTTTTTAGGGGCCGGATGGGGTCTCACAGTGCAGTTCAGACTGGCTTTGAACTCACTGTGTAGCCCAGGTTGGCCTGGAACTCCCGGCAATTCTGCCTCAGCCTCCCGAGTGCTGGGATTGCAGGTGTGCGCCACCGAACCCGGCGACCACTACTCCTAACGGGAGAGAACAGTACTTGTGTTTACGTATATTCTTTTGTTCTTGGTTTCTGTAAATCACTGTTACATTCATGAAGTTCATTCACATATTTTTTCCTCTTTCAGGTCGATTGATTTATTTTTTATTTTAAAGAGCAAAAACAATAAAAGTAATGGTACAAAACTTCAAAACAAGACAGTAGGAGAGTAACAATGGTTAGTGCACTGCATATTGTTATCTTCAAAGTAGTTACTCAGATTAGAAGATATAGGTATGAAAAACTGATCAAGCAATATAGGCACACACCTTTTCTTCAGTGTGCTAATAGCAGTTAGTAGTACAACTATCTGAACAATCTTGAGTGTATATATATATATATATATATATTTTTTTTTCCTTTTCCTTTCCTTCTTTTCTGCTTTCCCCCATCCCAGTTTTCTTTCCTTTTGAATAGTTTCCTCACCGTTCACAATATCCATTGTACATTTTGGGTCTTACTTCCTCTTTCAGCTTCTTACACTGGGGGACAATATGATGTTTACACATACAAGTCTGATTTATTTCAATTATGAGTATGGTCTCAAGTTGCATCCATTTCCCAATAAATGTCTCAAGTGTATCCTTCTTTATAGCTGAGTAGTACTCCACTGTATAAAAATACCACATTTTTTTATCCATTCTTTGGTTGATGTGCATTTGGGCTGTTTCCAAGATTTAGCTATGACAAATTGTGCTGCTATAAACGTGGGTGCACATGTATCGCTGTGTTATGCTTTTAATTCTTCTAGGAAAATACCCAGGAGGGGAATAGCTGGGTCAAATGGGACCTCATTTTGAGTGTAGCTATAGTTTGTTCATGAAAATGCTATACCACATTCCACTGTGTGAATATACTACAGTTCAGCCAAATCTAGACAGGGGTTGGTGTACTAGTATATATTCTGAGTTATTAAAAATATTGTTGCTATAAGCATTCTAATACATATCCTTTGGTGAACAGGATCTATAAGCCTGGCAAATGTAAGATCGTGAGTTTGATTCCCAATACCAAAAACAAAACAAAACAACAAAAAACCCCCCAAACCCCCAATACAGGTATTACTAATATATCAGGAATGCAAGAGAGTTCCAGTTGTTCTACATCCTCATCAAGATGTGGTTTTCCATTTAAATCATTTTTGTGGGTGAAAATTGAGTCTCCTGTAATTTTAGTTTGCATCTCTCTAATGATTAATGAAGCTGAGCACCTTTTCATCTGTTTATTGGCTATTTAGAAATAATTTCATGAAGTGTCTGTTAAAAGTTTTGATCATTTTAATGTCTGAATGTCTTTTTCCCTAGCATTTGCTTATATTTCAAACATTTAACACAGTTTAAATAATGTTATACAGCAAAAACCCTTAAGCCTACCATGTGGATTTAACTATTAATATTTTATAAAACTTGCTTTGTGATATATCCACCTTTCCTTCTCTCAATTTTAATATTGTTGCATTTCAAAGTAAATTGCAAATAGCAAAACACATTCAACCTTTTAAGTATTTCAGCATGTTTCATTAAGTAGAAATCAGTATCTAAAGTTTCTTTTTGTACATGAAATAAAACGCACGAATCTTCAGCACAGACTTGCTGAGTTCCACAGTGCACTCACCATTACCCAAGTCTCTGTCACATGCATTCCGTAATGTCTCCTGGGAGCGTCCTTCATGCTCCTTCCCACTTCCAGTTCCCCGGGGCAGCTAGTGCAGTATGCTGTTTTCTTCCTCACTGTAGATCAGCTTTGTCGGTTTCAGAATTTTGTGTAACTGGAATCATCAGTATGTTCTTTTGTGTACGGCTTCTTTCACTTGCACACTGCTCGTGAGATTTATCCAGATTCCTGCGTGGGTCGGTAATTCGCTCCTTATTTGAGTAGTAGTCACAGGTTGTTTATGTATGGCATGCTTCTTTAAATGTTTGTTTTGTGTTTCTTTTTATATTATTGGTACCTTTTAGATAAACATAATGATCATATTCATCACAGGGAATTTGTACCTGTACATGATGCTTCTTTTCTCCCCATTCTCCTCCCCGTACATAAACACTTTTTTCCCTCCTTATTTGCAAAAGCTTCATTTACATTTTTCTTTTCTTTTCTTTTCTTTTCTTTTCTTTTCTTTTCTTTTCTTTTCTTTTCTTTTCTTTTCTCCTTTTCCCTTTTCCCCTTTCCTTGTTTCCCTTCTTATTTGAGCATTTTCTTCTCATTTCCCAATATCCATTATACTTATTAGTCATATTTACAATTTCAATTTCTCACACCAGAGAAACAAAGTGGTATATAAACATGTGTGTCCAATTTATTTCACTCAAGGGGGCTGGGGATTTAGCTCAGCGGCAAAAGCGCCTGCCTGGCAAGCGCAAGGTCGTGAGTTCGGTTCCCGGTACCGGAGAAAAACCAAAAAAAAAAAAAAAAATTTATTTCACTCAAGAGTATGGTCTCAAGGTGCATCCATTTACCTAGAAATATCTCAAGCCTATCCTTCTGGATAGTAATGGCAGTAGTGATCCATTGTATAAAAAAAATCGTCATCTGTTCATTGGTTGATGGGCATTTGGACTGTTTCCAAGATTTAGCTACTACAAACAGTGCCATGTCAGTGGCACACATGGGCATGCATATATCACTGTGGTATGATGCTTTTAATTCTTTTGGGAAGATACCAAGAAGGGGAATAGCTGGGTCAAGTGGAACACCTAGTTTTAGTTTTTTGAAGAGTCTCCACACTGATTTCCACAGTGGATGCACCAGCCTACACTCCCACCAAAAGTGGAGGAGGGTTCACTTTTCCCCACAGCTCCACCAGCATTTGTTCTTGGTTGATTTCTCAATGGTAGCCATGAGTGAGATGGAATCTCAGCGTTGTTTTAATTTACATCTCTCAAATGACCAGTGATTTTAAACACTTTTTCATGTATTTGTTTGCTGTTTCTAATGCTATCCATTTCAGATGCC